ATTCACAGTAGCCGATGTAAATTGTATGTCTGGTGCATCTGTCACTTCCAGCATGTTTTGACAAGAGGCAGTAGAAATCAGAAGCAAAGAAAATTAAAATGATTAGTTAGACGAAAGATTGTGTTAGAATGCAAGGCTTGAGATGGAAGGAAGTATTTTTTTTTTTTTTCCCACTTGCTCCCAGACTAGGTGGTATCTCAGTGTTTAAATGGCGTGGTGTAAGAGACAGCCTTCCAGGAACAAGTATTCCAACTTGACTGAGTATTGCAAAACCCCACAGGGGTTTTTGTAGTATGATTGGAAGATGTTTATTTTAAACTTCAGGGCTGCTAAACGTCTCAAATAGAGCATTCGTTTGTGCCATCTTCACAAAATGAGTTAAATCACTTTTTTTCAAGTAGGATCTTTCATGAACTGTGTGTTTTTTATGTGAGTTTAGTTCTCATCTTGCTGGAAATAAGGTGAATATGACCATCCAGTATCATGTGTTAATTCATCAGCATTTTTGCCGCTATGTATTTTACCTTGCTATGCTTGAAAAATTGACACATGGTCTTATTGTTAATGGTCCTTAAAATGAAGACACAATTCAAATGTCCTCACAAGCACCTTTTGCATGATCTCAGGCTTCTTTCTTTTCAAGTTCAACATGAGTGCCTCTATCCATTTTAAATCTCCTTTCCATGCTGCAAAGAAAACTGGCTGCTCTATGATGTGACCAGGAAATTGACCTAAAGAAAGTCCAATGCTTCTGCAGTCTTACCAGAACAGCTGTAACATTTGCTTTGTTCTGGGACAACTTAAATCATGAAGACTGGCTAGAAAAGCTTGAGAATTAAGGACAAAGTAACTTCAGAAAGAGGAACCCAGTTCTGGAATTTGTTAGACTTGGATTTTGCTTTAGCTAACTTTCTGAAAGTAGATTTGCAGTACAGGCTCTGCTGTCACACTGGAAACAGTTAAATGGGAAAAATAATTAAAATAGAAATCAGAGGGCTTTTGTGTGTTAAAAGGAGTGCATCTTGTAAGGAGACTGAATTGGGTCTTATGAATTATAAGTCAGAGTTGCAAAATGTATGATGCTTTTCAAGTGCAATGTATGCTTCTCAGATGTCATAAATCTACCTTATATTCAGCCCATCAGTAAACATTTATTGAATACATCTTATAGGAAAGCCATGCAGTTCTATTAGAATATAAGATGGGAATCAGCACTTCTTTAGCCTGTTCTTACTTTAGTCCTCCTGCTACTGAGAAAAAACATCCCTATATGTTGTTGAATCTTAGGTAGAATTAGACTTTATACTGAAGAAGTTTTGCAACTATAATTTTACTTGGTGCCAAATGCTATTGATTACAATCACAGGTCTGTACTACTGTGTTTTGCTCACTGTATTGAGTGTGCTCAGAATCACTGCAGGGCAATCCTGCACAAATATTTACAGTACTTAACATTTTGCAGATTAACAAATTTGCAGTTTACTAATTGCATGTGGATTTGGAGGTTTTTTGAAGAATATCAACAATGCACATGTGCATTGTTCAGCACGAGGGCAGCATTAGGTCCTCCTCAAATACTTTTAACTGTAAAAGTTAACCATTCTTCATTTTGACTGTTAAGTCATGTGTTACTGGAAGTAGTTGTGTGTCTGCATTTGAGACCTAAAATTTCAACTATGGTATTTATGGGATAAATTTTCTTAGCCTGGAATAGGTAAGTTCCCCGTGAAGCTTATGAGGACCAGTACAAATTACTTCAAGACTGCATATATTTGTTCTTTTCTTTTCACCTGGAGTAGTTCTTGGATCTCCTGCATGTTTGAAATAGTTCATAGTTCCTCTACTACTGCCACAAACAAGATATGCTTGTAACATGCAGTGGACTGTTTATGTATGTATGCTGCTTATGCTAACAGAGTGGACAACAATACAAAATTCTTATAAAAGTATAGTTAATTATTAATGTAGTTAATGAAATTTCTCAGTAACTTGATTGGTACCTTTTAGTTAGAAATGGAATCACCTGTTATAACTGATTAAATCATTACTGTTGTGATAAATAACTTATATTTTTAAACCAATTAAATAGTCTGAAACATGGTGCCACTGCTTTTGATATCAGTACTGTGAAAGTATTGTATGTCACAGCTTGAGGCACTGGTCTTTGATACACTTGCATTGTAAATGCTGCTGTAGTGCATGGTAACCTCCTCAACCCTCAGTGACAGTAATTCAGAATGATGTGTGGTGCTTTTCGGTTTGGTATCTCCCTGATTTCTTGGTCTTGTGAACTTTTCTGCATCACTTCTGTGTTTTTCCTACACTCTTTAAAAAAACTCTTTCCAGACTCTTGACATTCTTTAAAAATATATATATATACACACACACACACCAGAAATGGATAGATACTGTATGTATTTATTTGTCTCACCAGTTCCATTTATAAGGATAAAAACACTATGGTGTTATTTCGGTGCATTCAGTCATATCGTTAGCCCTTTTTGCCATCATGTAATATACTCATGTGCGATTGCTTGCCTGTCTCACAGCTGAATTAGATAATTTGTCCTTTTCTGTAGGAGAGATACATGTTCTCTGTTGGTGACTTCAGTGACAGCAAGTTTTACGAACCAAAATTAAGTTCACTTATATGTTCTGTGCAGTTCTGGAGCACAGATGTGTAGACAGGATTTGTGTTTGTATTTTAATAAGATGAAATTACTGTGAATGCTCCTTATCAGGATGATTAATTTTTAAGCAGCTGAGAAGTAATTATGGGGAGAAAATCATGTATATGTGAAGTGTTTGCCAGCTCAGCTTGGTGCTACAGATGGCTGGAGCTTTCATTTGGAGGGTGATAAGGAAAGAGGAGCAGCCTGCAGTCAGTCTGCCTGAGGAGCTTCTTGCTTTGCATGTTCAGGCCTCCCCCCGCCTTGCCGTAGCCTCCCAGGGGATTCAGCCCTTGCTTGGTGGGTTCTGGAGCAGCTGTTTGTGAGGCTTTAACTTAGCACCATTTATGAGGCTCTCATCCTAGAGGGATTAATTGTGGAAATGGTTACTGGATACTGCCTGGTAGACTTTTAGCATACAGCATCACAGGTTATTGTAGCAGTCCTGAGTGTTATTTAAATAATCCAGTTCCTTTGGCCTCTCCTTACAGGGCAAGTGCTTCAGCCCCTCCATGGTCTTGGTGGCCCTTTGGACTTGCTGCAGTTGATACATAATTAATATGGGGCGGGGGGGGGGTGTCCAGAAGTGGTGCAGTATCTAGATGTGGTCTAAGGAGCGCTGAGTGGAGGGGGGATCACTACTGCCTCTGTGGGCTCTGTTCCTGTTGATACATCCCAGGCTGCTGTTCATAGTGCACTCTGGCCCCAAGGAAGGTGACTCACATTTAGCCTGCTGATCACTGAGACCCATAGTTCCTTCTCCACAGGGCTACTCCGTGGCCTGGACCATTGCAGGGGGGTAGTCTGTCCCAGGTGTGGGATGTAGCATTTATCCTGCTTGGATTTCATGAGCTTTTTTTATTGGCAGCAAACTTGTGTTACCTATGAGATAAGCTGTGTTGGGAATCTCAAGAGTTTCAATCATATTTCACATTGTCAGGCTCCAAAATGACTTTTGCCAGTGTCAAATAAGAGCAAGAGAGCTATCTTCTGCTAAGAGCAAGTGGTGGAGAGAGCTTGTGGTTTAGAGAAACCCAGCATGGATGTTTTATGTAAGCTCTCTCGCTGCACTTACTGTGTGGTCTATGACTGCATTAAATGGAGAAGGCTTAGCTGAAGGATTTGTCAGTAAGAAGGTGAGATAATGGTCAGGGGAAGTGGTGATCCCTTTCGGGAAGAAGGAGGGAGTCTATTTCCTTGTGTCTTACTTTCCTGCTTGTAGTCAAGAAAAAGAGCATCATGTGCATCTTTATTTTAGCACGGTATTGTAGCTTGTCAGGAACAATAGTTTTCTTCCTTTGAGAGTCTAAAATTGAGGTGCAGGTCATTTCTAGGTTCCATGCGAGATAAGTGATAATGCAGAGCATACTGCATATGAAGGTAACATCTAGAAGACTTTTCTTATTTCTCAGTGCTGATTCAGCAGGGAGGAGTTCTATCAAATGTGGTGAAAAGGCATCACAAGGAATTGTTTCAAGGGTACATAGATCACTTGTGTGCATGTATTTAAGATTTTTTCACGTTTTCAGGTGGGGTTTGCATAGAATTTGGTGCTCTGGAAGAACTATGTTACGCTACTGGGCAATGTTAGTGAAAAATTTGTCATAGAATTTCATTGTTCATTTAAATAGAAGAGATATTACTGGTCAAATACACAATCATGTAAATAGTTTGGTCGTGAGATGCTAGAAAATGACACATTTTGAAAGGTTTTAATCCCTGCCTGTTCTCTGTAGAAGACATCTGGTAGGACAGGGGAAGAAACTTGGACATGCCCCATGCTCTAGCTTTTGGCAGTACATTAGTTGCATGTGCTAACAGTAACGGAATAAATAACTCACTATCATTGCTACTCCCATTTGGAAAAAAAAGTATTCTATAGGAGGTAGAAAGGAGTAATTGCTAAAGAAATTAATTAATAGTAAAAGATCATTGTGCACAGAAAGACTTGCAAAGTTACAGAGCTTACAGCTGAATCAATGACGATTTAGAGAGTAAACAAGGGCAAAATACTAAGCTATGTACAGAAGGACCTTTTCTGTAAAATAACCTATTGTGCAAGTAAAAACATTGCCTTTGACCAGGCACTCAGGTGATGCTTCTTCCAGCTTCACTGCTGGTGTGAGGTGTTGTAGCATGCAAATACTTAGATGAATACAGATTCCCGAGCACTGATGAAGGTGGTAGAGCAAGGATTAAACTGAGTATACTGGCCAGGTATCAGTCCTTTTTCCACCTGTTTTGTTTAATTTTCGTGTTGTTTGCTTGTTATGGTTCCTAAAATAAATAAGATTCTGTGTTTTTCTTTGTCTTGTGTGTGTTTATACTTCAGAGAAATTCTCAACCATGTAATAAATTTCCAACGAATGTGCCTGAACTCTTGGAGTTCAAACCACCTTAAAGGGCCAAGCAACGTTCAGAAGCAATGTTCATAGCAACAGGTATACAGTTTCTATTTATTTCTCTTTTAAAAGAAGCTCCTATTCTCCTGCCTCTGTTGTCAACTTCTCTCCCATTTTTCTTGTTCGCTTCTAAATGTTGCAGTGCATTTAAATCAGGCAGTTTTCAAGGTGGGCAGCCTTAGTATAAAGAACCAACTGATTCTCAACAGTTACTGCTGCGTTACTGCCTAGCAGATGCACATTAATTGTGCTGAGTCCTTTCTTGGTAGTGGTAAACTACCACTTAACCTAAGGTGCCAGGAAAGAGAGAAGCAATAGTCTCGGTTCTCTGTGAATGGTGATAGAGATTGGGATTATTTTACAAAATCTGCTGGTTTTCAGATAGACTGGAGTAATGGAGGGTGGTAGTCTCCCTTGAAGAAACTCTCAGTGTTAAAGGATACGTGATAAATTTTTGTTACAGCTGTACCATTGATCAGCAAAGGCATGTATCTTTGGTTTCTTTCCAGAGGGATATGTTGGCAAAGAGCTTGGAACCAGTAGTGCCTGGGTCTGGCTTCTTGGATGCTGTTTGTCACTTCTAGATCACTTCATTGTTAGTTTTGATTTTTACTCTCCATGCTGGAGACTGGATGTTATCAATCGGTTTTCAGAAGCTATGCCATTTAATGAGCTCAAATGTCTAAATTATGTTAAATGTAGATATGTAATAGTCTTTAAAGAATCATAACAAAATCTAATCAATGGAGTAGCTTTTTTTTATTGTGAATGGTTAAATTTGATAGTCTTTCCACTATGTTTTTATTCTCCCCAGTCTCATAGCTTCTAAATTGCAATAATTCAATTTTTAAAAGCCGAGAGAAAATGGAAATAGCAATAGAAAAAGCTGTGGGCTTTTTAAATTGTCTGCAGAAAACTAAGGAAGTCTCTGGAATTGACTGTACGGTAGCATATATGTAAGATGTAAACAAATGGAAAGGGGAGCCAGGAGAGCTGGAAGACATATTTTCATCAAGTTGGTTGAGAACAAGAGTGTTGGGGGGTTTTATTATCCACAATCAAAATGAATCTTGGAGATGATGTAGCTTTCCTGTGCCACACATATCACCATTACTATATGGCTTGCTTACAGTTGTTTTCAATTTGCATGTGGACTATGCAATAGTATCTTTTGATCTGTGCACTTGAGTGTCCCAATTTGCAGCCATTAAATGGTTCCAACTACCTCTTTACTTATTCATGTGTCAGCTTTCTTCTCTTGCACTTTTATTCCCCTTAGGTTCTTGTGTGTTATTCAGTGTAGCTATGAACTTTGATCTGAAGGGACCAGTGAAGTAAGTGCAACTCTAGAACATTGTATTCAGATACTTGTAGAACACGTTTTTATGCTAGTAGGGTTTATTTTGCATCTGCTTTATGTTCATTGATCCTAGAAAATGCTAACAAACACCTTATGGTGAACTTAGGACTGAATGCAAAAAAACAGAAGTCTCAATTCTTGCTATAAAATAGAGAGTAAGAATCATCTAGGACATATCTCCCTGAACATCAGCAAACTTCTCCTGCAGCTTTCTTTACTTTCAAGGTAGGTGAGCTCCCACTCCTCGTCCTTAACGGTTTAATAGTCTGACTAAAGAACAAAGGAATTGTTGTAGGCTGGTAGGAGGCAGCATGCAGGTTGCAGTCACCAGTAGACTGAGACAAGTGGGCTAATGTGGGAGAAACTTTGCAGTTGGTAAAGGAAGTGCTTAAAAAAGAAAATAATCTTGTTTTCTGCTATTAACTTAGATTTTCCCACAGTAATTTTTATACTGAAACCAATAGTGTTCACAGACACAAGTCTGTTCAGCCTAATCTGTGCCTACTGCTGAACAGATTAGGATATTTGTCCATTCTGGTATTTTAAGTGGTTGATGGTGAAAGTTGAGAGAAGAAATTAGTTCTGGTTTTGATGGACGATACAGACAGAACTTAATGTGAAGAACAAAGGCAGGTCCAGATCCTGCTGCTTTAAGCCAAGAAGGTGGTAAGGTTGTGAAATGGATGGTTCCAATGATGGGACTAGTGTGCTGCAGTCACACTCTTACTTCTGTTGCATTGATTTGGTAGGAAAATAGTTTCCCCTGTGGTGCAGTGTGTGAATCAGTCAGACCAGTCCTGCTCTGCATCCTCACAAGAAATGGACAAGATTCTGTTGGGACAATGAACACAGTTTACCCCATGAGAAGTTTCTAGTCCAACAGTCACTGCCACTTAGGTAAATGAATTGTCAGAGGATCTCAAGATAAAGAATGACTGCGTGACGTGATGGCAAATATTGTATTTAGTATGTTAGAACATACAAAGTAATGTCTGTATGGTGGGGAGAATCTGACTATGTGTATACTGTGACAGATTGTAAAGTAGCCTTTTTTCCCTGCATGCACTCATTAGGGTTTACCTACTTAAGAGGAATGTGACCTTGCTTTATACCCAGTGAGCGAAATAAAAAAAAAATTGAGCTGACTAAGCAGCATTTGGCATCAATCCCTACCCCTGATCAGTTGGAGGAAAGAATTCGTGGCAGCCCTGCCTTGAAGGAAAAGTAGGTGCAGAGTCCCTCTGACAGCTTAGAGGGGTGTCAGCTGAGGAGCTTTATTGTGCAGAACTCTCATGTCACAGTCGTGTGCCCACTGTATGGGCGACAAGAGCAAACAGGCCAGCAGGTACAGCTGGGGATTGCAGCCTTCATGGTAGGTACTTAATGGTCTTGGTAGTGAAGGGCTATCACAGTGGAGCTTCTCACAGCTAGAACTGGGAATTGCTACAGGTAAAGCAGACGCTTAGGAGGCCTTGAGTTTTGGGGCTCTTGTGCTCTGTGTTCCATTCCTTTTTTGTGAGAGGATTTGGGGATTGTTTCCTTGGGCCTGTGCTTGTGCCAAGGTGCCTCCTGAGAATACGTGAGAAGCAGCTTCTTTTCTTTCTCTGCTGCTGTTTACTTCTTGAACTTGGCAATTTCTGTTACTTCCAGGGTAATTTTAAAAATCTAAATTATTACCCTAAATTGAGAATACCATGTGAATGTGCTTGAGCTTCATTTGTATTTAGGTGGTATGTCATTTACTTCAACCACATGAATTGCTTCCACAGTATCTTAAATATTTTGTACTCTTCCTCCCCGTCACAAACAACATTGTACATATCAATATATAGAAAAAATAGGAAAATATCATAGGTGGAAAATTGGACTTTCAGGGAACTTGTGATTCTGGAGGAAAAGGGTGACTGGTCTGTTGTCTACTGAGTATTATCACAGTAGCCACATGCAGGAACTGGACTGGTGTTGTCTTGAGCAGTCAGATGTGTTATGTATGGCTCTCTTTGTGAAAATGTGTGTACTTCTACCTGAATCGCTCAGCTGTATTATATATATAGACTCATAGAATCTTTGGGTTGGAAGGAACCTTTTAAGGCCATCTAGTCCAAGCCCACTGCAGTGAACAAGGACATCTTCAACTAGAGCAGGTTGCTCAGAGCCCCCATCCAACCTGACCTTGAACATTTCCAGGGATGGGGCATCTACCACTTCTCTGGGGAACCTGTGCCAGGGTTTCACCACCCTCACTGTCAAAAATGTCTTCCTTGGATCTAGTCAAAATCTACCCTCTTTTAGTTTAAAACCACTACCCATACCCCTGCTGAAAAGTCTGTCCCCATCTTTCAGTACTTAAAGGCAGCTTATAAGAAAGGCTGCATTAAGGTATCCCTGGAGCCTTCTCTTCTTCAGGCTGAACAACCCCAACTCTCTCAGCCTGGCCTCACAGCAGAGCTGTTCCAGCCCTCTGAGCATTTCTGTGGCCTCCACTGTCCCCGCTCCAATGGATCCATGTCTCTCCTGTGCTGAGGACTCCAGAGCTGGATGCAGCACTGCACAGGGAGGGATCTCACCAGGGTGGAGCAGAGGGACAGAATCTCCTCCCTCGACCTGCTGGGCACACTGCTTTGGAATACAGTCCAGGATACAGTTGGCCTTCTGTGAGCACACATTGCTGGCTCATGTCCAGGTTTTCATCCCCCAGGACCCCCAAGTCCTTCTCCATGGGGCTGCTGTCCATCCCTTCATCCCCCAGCCTGTATTGATACTGGGGGTTGCCCTGACCCAGGTGCAGTACACTGTACTTGTCCTTGTTGAACCTCATGGGGTTCACATGGGCCCATTCCTCAAGCTTGTCTAGATCCCTCTGGATGGCATCCTGTCCCTCAGGCGTGTCAAATGCACCAGTCAGCTTGGTGTCATCTGCAAACTTGCTGAGGGTGCACGCAATCCCACTGTCTGTGTCACTGATGAAGATATTAAAGCATACTGGTCCCAATACAAACCCCTGAGGGACACTGTTCGTCACCGATCTCCATCTGGACATTCAGCCATTGACCACTACCCTCTGGATGTGGCCATCCAAATGAATTTCTCATCCACCCAACATTGCTCCCATCAGATCCATCTCTCCAAGTTAGAGGGAAGGATGTTGTGGGGGATTGCGTCAAAGGCCTTACAGAAGTCCAGATAGATGACATTGGTAGCTTTTCCCTTGTCCACTAATGTGGTCACTCCATCATAGAATGCCACTAGGTTGGTCAGGCAGGGCTTGCCCTTGGTGAAGCCATGCTATGGCTGTCTTGAATCACCTCTCTGTCCTCCATGTGCTTTAGCATAGCTTCTAGGAGGATGTGTTCCATGATCTTCCCAGGCACAGAGGTGAGGCTGATGGGTTGGTAGTTCCCAGGGTCTGACAGTTCTGTTTTATCTTGTTGAGAGTTGTTGCAGCAGCTTGTCTGTTTATCAGTGTGTGTTCCTCTTTGCTTTGTGGTAAGATAAAGAGGATGCAATGAAACAGTTTGTCTGCAACCATGATGCAGGATCTTTTGCTTCTGAAAGATGTGTTTTTTTTTTCTCTGTCACCTGTAGCCAAAAAATTTTTTGCCGTTCTGCATTTTGGTATTATGTTTGTAAAATCTTAATGAACCTGTAAGTTGTTTTCTTTCCTGTAGGAGGAGATCAGCAATCTTTCAGAGACTTTGTGCCCACAGGAAGCATCTACGTTGCTAGCCAGTACCACTAGTACCATGAGCAAGTGATTGTTCTGAATGAATAGGAACCAAATTAGCGGGAATACTTGCTGTTCCTTCTGCTAAAATGTCATTTACTTTGATATTATATCTTTTTCCAAGTGGCAGCTTTGTTCCTATGCCAGGAGAGCCAATTTTGTTTTGCCATCTGAATGGGTCTGTTCCTTTCTTCTCTACTGTGCTTGTTACAGAGTGTTTACTTTTTTTTTACTGGAGAAGTGAGACATCTGTTAATAGGCTTTTAGTGATGAACCCTATTTTGACTGGAAATAATATGATGGCAGTTCTGGGATGTCAAAGAATGACACCCTGAGCATACAAGTTGGTGGATGCTTACCAGAAAGATATAAGCTGCTGAATCACTTCAACCAAAACCAGATTGATAGTTATACCTTAGAGAAACCTACTGTTACTTAAAATGGTAGGAATAATTGACCAGTTGTTTCACAGGAATGGACTTCAGTGTAAAACATGAACATGAGTTAGAGAAGTCAGTATAATACCTAAAACAAAGAGGGCTAACATTTGATAACTACATGTGTATCTGAAACCGTGAAAAGTCAGTTCAGTGGCCCAAAAGCCTCTTTCTAGACCTATTCTGATGTTGGATTTGGGAATCTGCATCTGCAGGTAGTGTGCATCTCATACTAAGTATGAGAATAGTGCTGCTTTGTTACTCAGTACCTGGAACAGTATGTGAGATCTGGAAAAGTTTCAGAGAGGATTTTAAAAGAGAACTTGAGAAACAGAGAGTGACAAACCAGTATAGGAAGAGACGGAAGGAGGAAATAGATGAGTACATTTGACAGAGTATAAATGTTGAGAGGTAGGATGGAGATGATGTAAGTGAAGACTTTCTTTTAACTGCAAATCTCGTGGATAGGGAACTCTTTTTAAAGTATCAGCATGTTCATCAGTTTGTACAGTTGATGGCATATCTCTCTCATAGGGAGTGTCTAGAATATTAACAGGTTTTCCTGAATTACTAATAGGTTTGGGAAGCCTTTTTAGCCAACTGTGACATTCTGATGTTAAGTGCTGTGGGTTTCTGGGAATGAAGAAATTGGTCACTTTTGTGAGAAAGTTTTTTCATGAGTATTTTCTATTTTTCTCAGGGTACGGAGTCCATTAAGATGGAAAATGGACAAAGCACAGCAGCTAAGCTGGGGCTTCCTCCCCTTACACCAGAACAGCAGGAAGCTCTCCAGAAAGTGAGTAAACCTGATGTGAATTTGCTTATTAGCACTCTTGTTTGTTTGGGGTTTTTAAGTGCTTTTTTTTGTTTTTGTTTTTGTTTTTTTTTTTAAAATGAGCATCTGTTACTGATATTACGAAAGGGAACTCGCTTACGAAGAATATGTATGGGGTAATGACCATGCTGTGTGTGCATTCACACTTTCAAATTTGTGCCCAACAATTACTTGTTTTGGTTTGGAGTTTATAGATGCTTTTTGGGGAGCGTGATGTGGAATTTGCTATTGGGGTGAGGAAAGTGTTTTTAATTAAAAAAAAATGAAAATCATAAGTAAATAACATCTTAAGATCATGTTGTAATTCTGAGACAATATGCAACTATCACAAAGTTGCTGCAGGGAGCAGCCTGTGCTCCACAAGAAATAGGATTCTGATACGCTCCAGCTGGTCTTTTATACTGTCCAGACAAGAACACATCACAAAGTACCTCTATTTTTCCCTTATGCTCCTTCCCATGTTGTAAAGAGACCCAGTAGCATGCAGCAAGTATTCTCAACCCATTTGAGCCAACCTGTTCTAATCAGTCCAGCTCTGATTTCTGGTTGTTGGTCCTGTTTTGTACAGCTGGTGGGGAGGTTACTGCTGACTTCTGGCCCACTTTCCTGATGGGAGTGAGTGATGCCTGGCATACTGAGAGGAGAGCAGAGTTGGGAAAAGAGGGGAAAGAAAACAAAACCAGGGAATATGGGAGCTGTGGGCTAGGTGTCTTCTGTACTCTGGTGAGGCAAGTAAAGTATTTTTCTAGGTAGGCTTTGTGTGAATGTTCCCATAATGTTGAAGCTGCTTGTGTGTGTGTTGTTTGGCTCACAGTGTGAAACGGCCTCGTTTCCTCTGGCTTCTCCATAGCTGACAGATGTAAATCCCGTTGTCCATTTCCAGGTTTCCGAAGCACACGTCTCAAATCCACGGTTTAGAGCCTGCCGTTCCCTGGCACCTCCCAAACACGTACAGCCATGGAAAGCAGGTGCCTGAGGGGTTGGCTGAATGTGTTTGTACCATCCCTTGGGAATAGGCACATATGTGGGTATTAGGTTTCCCTTGACAGAGAGCCTCCTTGTCAGCACCACTGGGTGTAAAGCTCAGCCTTTGTCAAATTTGTAAAAGACTGAAAGAAAAAGACCAATCAGTCTTGGGTCTACAGGCTAGGAAGCAGAGAAGGAGAGCTGGAGCATTTTAGTGAGCAAAAGCAGTGGGTTCTCCAAACTAGAATAGGCCACATGTGATAAGAACAGAGAGGAGGAGTGCCTAGTAAGGGACTGGACATGGGGATTTGGAGCCCCCTTCCCTTTTGTAGAACCTCTTTGTCCAGATGTTCTCTGAGTGGAAAGGACTTGAAGGAGGCTATCTGTCCTGCCCTCATCCCAGCAGGTAAGGTGCTATGGTGGGATCTAAGGGGCAGAGGGCGGAAGAGGGGAAATGCTAAGTGTGTAGTGCATGCTGCTTTCCTAACATTGCACTTGCTGCAGATTGAGTCCATACAATCCTCTGCTCAAGCATTATGCTGTATTTCAGGGCTCACGACTCCGAGATGCAGACCAAGATGTTAGTAAGCTGTTGGCCGCTGGCTACTGTACAGTGCCGTAGTGCTTAGGGCTGGAGCGCCGAAAAGTTCCACTGGCAGCCAGTTGTGTGGTTCTGGAGAACTCTGGTGTAAAATCAAACATCGTTCCCTGCTCTGTGGTATTGTCCTATGACTACAGAGTCTGTGTTTCTTTCTAGGCAAAGAAGTATGCGATGGAGCAGAGTATCAAGAGTGTGCTGGTGAAGCAAACCATCGCCCACCAGCAACAGCAGCTCACCAATCTTCAGGTGAGAGACCCTCTGAGATGCTCCTTCTGTGTCTTACTCTCCCCAACAAGGTGGAGTTCTTTTTGCACTTAGAACCAGAGCACAGCCCTGAGGCCTGCCTGGAGCCAGGTACCTGTACTTGTGTTTCCACAGTGAAAATGAAGTATAGCATCTTCAGCTCACTAAAGAAACCCCCTTTACTCACCTGCACAAATTACCCCCAAATTTCACTCATTTGAAGAGTAAATTTTTAAGAGTTTCTCTCCTGTTGGCTGGGCAAATGCTTCTTGAAATGCCAGAAGCCAATGAATTTGCTGTGGGTTTCAATTTCAACTTACATTTAAGGTGGTGTCTAGGATTACTGGGAACAGTATCCTTTCACCATCTCTTCTGCTTGAAGGGAAGGTACCTGTCTCTCCTGTGTTACTGACAGTGCTACCCCATTTCCTTCCCCTTTATGCAGGTGCACTCTCAATTTCAGAGAAGTTCTGTTGGCTATTCCTGCTAGTGCTGGAATGCCTATGCACTGGGAGAACCTGTAACTGCTATTTAAGTCTCCCTTCAGAGGTTTCTTGAACACGTCTCACTGCCTTCTACTCAAAGTTAGGAAGCCCAGAATAATGGCTTTTGGGATGTTGGATTTTTTTCTAATGAAGCATCACTGTGGATGTGCTTGCCACATTAGGCAGCTCTGGCCTTTCAGGGCTGTGCATGTTTCTGAGTGTCTGATCTAGTTGAGGGACTCCTTTTTAAATGCTGGGGGTGAATCAACGACAGTGGTTGCAGAGGTTACTATTGCCTTGAGTCCCCCCTGGGAGAAGACCCTGCTTCCTGAGGCAGTGGCAGCAGCACAACTCCACCCTGACCTGGTGGGACTGGAATCTGCAGGGTCCCAGCGCTGGACAGTCCTTGGGACCAGGCAGTGAGGGGCAAGGAAGGAGAGGCCTCTCTCGCAGGTTCCCTGTGCCGCCGCTCTGCTTGAGTTTTTACAAACAGCCGTAGTATGCTCAGCTCCAACAGACTGAACTCTGTCTTTACTGTCTTTCAGATGGCAGCAGTGACAATGGGCTTTGGAGATCCTCTCTCACCTTTACAATCGGTCAATAGACATATTCACTTCTTCTTGGGCACTTTGTCTTAGTCAGGGCCTAGAGTGGGGAAGTATGTAGTGGTAATACAATGCTCTTAATTCAACCCAGCACAACCCTCCCACATACCCACCTGTTATGGACAAGCACAGCAAGCAGAGGCAAAGTGTAAACTCCCCAGAGGAAGACCCTAGGCTGGGTGCAGTCTGCTGTGACACTGGCAGTCGGGGTCCTGGAGTCAGTTGGCAAAGAAAGCTTTAGATTTCCAACAGTTCTGAACACACCTGTGCAATTGTGGGAGCTGCATTTCTAGGGATGCTACAGTTCTGAGGTCCTGACCTAAAACTAACTGCCAAGGTAACTCGCAAATGGGCAATTTCTTATGAAGCAAACTTACAGCACCGAAGACCTGGCAGCTAAAGTGCTGGGGAGGACTGGGGCACTATAGGTTTGCAGAACATATTGTAGCCCAGATGGAAGACTGCTCTTACTGTGCATGTTTCCAGACTAGGTGAATATGGCATGTTTCAAGTAAAGAAAAAACAGGATGGAAGTAACAGAACTGCAGGACTACTCAGAGAATCTGTACAGTCCTTTAGTGCTGGAATTTCTAATCAGATGCCATGAAGAGCTTAATTACCTGGGATTATGCATCCCCTCCTTTTTCCTAGACATGTTGGACAATGGCCATTGCAAAAAGTGTCCTATAAGCTCCACTCTGCATGCAAAGGTTCATTTGTAAATTTGTAAATATTTTTCCATCTTGCTGGAATATAGTATTTCTGCTTGGTTTAAAACACAACCAGAGGCTTGTACTCCAAAATGAAAGATGCACTAAAGCTAACATCACCTGTTTTCTCTCCTTTAACACTGCCACAGTAGGTAGTGTGTCAGCAGGGGAGCCAAAATAAATTTATGGGAGTTTGTAAGTTTGGAATAGAATAGAAGCATACATCTCAATGTGAATTTGGCATAGCTGGTTTCTGAACCCTCATGCCTGAGAAACTTCTACCAATTAATGTAGGTGCTTACTTGATAGCTTAACTCCATCAATTTTCCTTGAAAAAAATTGGCTCATTATTCACAGCTGGGCAACAGATGAAAGGTGTGTACTGGTAATGTAACAGGAAATGTTTAATTTCTCATTAGCCTCAAGGGCATAGTCAGTATTGTGAATCCTTTTCCTCTTCTCTAGGGAGTCAGAGACTACTGATGGGACAGAACCTAGAAGCAGGAGTCTGCTTTTAATCATTTGGCTGTGGTACAGTTCAGTGTAGTTTAGGATACCCTGTCCTCAGCAAATGCTTTGTCCCAAAGCCCATCAGGAATGTAGAAAACGCAAACAGACCTCTGTCCAACACATTTTTCCTGTTGACAAGATTCATCAATTCCTACATGAAGGAAGTGCAGCCTGAACTTCCCATTGCAGTATCTTAGTGCTTGTGATTAAAGCGTCCTGTCTACTTAATCCTCCAAGTATTACAGCTCAAGATTTCCATGTCACTTCAGCAAGATGAGCACAATTTCCTGGCGTTGTTGTATTAAAATTGAAGCTAGTGGTGATGTTTTTGCGTCACCTCCTTTGATTAAAGGAGCACTCAAACATAGTATTTTGGCTTGTCCTTAAAATAATCTTCATAAGCACTTAACAGCAACATTACATAGATGCAACTACTACCTGCTGCCTTTATGAAGGTTGCAGATACTTTAAACTCCATTTTTATGGGTGGAGAAAGAGAGCCAGTGGCCAGTAAAAATCTACTTAGTGTAGCTAGTGGAAACAATGGTATTTCTAATAATGAGTTTCTGACACTGTCATGTGCTTAGTTCACAGGTGTCCATTGCATCGTTCTCCTAACTTGATGCTACTGATTCCTGTTAGTGATCCACATATGCCTGTAGTCATCACAGTCCACCTCAGTTCTGCCTTTTGTAGGTCCAAATGTCTAATATGTTGCTGATGTAACAGTCCTCCTAACTCCAACCCACATATTTTGTTAGGATCTCTGCAGCAGGGTAAGATGTGGATTTCCTCCTGTAAAGGTTGCTTCCATGGGAGAGGACAAATGCCATGTTTCTTGCACCTGTTGCATTGATAACTGAAAAGAGGGAATGTCCTCTTTGTATATACATACCCCTCAGAAGGTGAAAAATCTCTCTGCCTGTTGTAAGGCTGCAGTGTCTTGTCAAGAAGCACTCCTAGTAAAACACTAAAATTTTTATCACAGTCTGTGGCACCATGGGTGAGGCACTTCACTCAGACACTTGGGGTTAGAATGGTGATGGCTCTGAACCCGTGAAGGGACACACTGCACAGACTGAGGGGCTACTGATCACTGGCTTTCCTGCACCAAAGCTGGGAACGTGTTGGAGAACCTGGGAGACAACACGTCAGCTGTCCTGCATGTACACGTGCCATAGTCCTCCTAGTCACAGCATTGCAGAGTAAATTGAAAACCAGCTTATTTTTAACTGTATGAAATACTTAAACCCAGTCAAGAGGCAAGCTTAATATCACTTCAGGAGCAGCAGTATGGGGTGAGAATCGTTCCTGTTTATAGTATCCCTGCTGTATTGAATAATAGGAGTTGAACCTTTACAGTTTGTTTCCTCCTATGGTCAATGTCACCCACATACAGGTATTATGAGGAAGAAGGATTTCTTCAGGTACATTTTGTGTCCATGCTTCTGTGACTATCACAGATAAAATGCTCTCCCTTCTGTTTGCCATTTGAGTTGCAGCTCATTGTGCTCATGCTTGTTATGGCATTCTGAAAGTAGGCCTCTTGTAAAGGCCTTGATTAAAGACCCTCCTAAACAGCGGTGGTGGGGAAGAGGTGGTTGTTCAGAGCTCCCTGCTTTGGTGCCAAGCACTGTGGTGCTGGGAAGGGAGAGGCATCAAGCTTAATGCTGCATTTGCCTACTCTGCAACAGTCTGTAGCCCTTACTGCTTTACGTTTGTTCCATCTGTTCCATGCAGAACAGGAATGAAGCCCTGTGCATATCTCCAATGCACTAATTCAGTCTTGCTGATCACAGGGAGCTGCCTCTAGAGAGACTTAATTTCTGCCTTGGTCCCAAGACGTGCTGCTAGGATATGCTGGCCAAACCTGTGATTTTTTTTTTATAGGCAGCATCTTCCTAGAATAATACTCATTAGTAGTAGCAATTCTAGAATTGCAATAAGGGTGAAAATTAATTGAAGAATATACTGCTATTTTGGATACCTGCTGTAAGAAATTTCTGGATTTGTCTTGCAAACAGGTTTTCAGGCATACTTAGGAGAAAATAGCACAGAGACCTTCTCTGCACCGAAACTGATAAGGGCGGAGTCTTTGGGGGCTGCACCACTATCTGAGCCAGTAACAGCAGGCAGTGATAAGTACTAGCACCACACACTTAACTAAGAAGTTTCATTTAACCATTTAATTTTTTTTTTTTTTTTGCTTTGCTTTTGAACTGTGCGGTGGAAGTGGTGCCTAGTACTGGATCTCATACTGCCTGGGGCTGGGGGGAGGAGGTGGTGTGTGATGCTTGAGGGAGTGGGGAGGAGGTACCCAGTTCCAGATCCTTTGCTACTGGGAGGATGGGGTGGGGGGAGGGAGTGATGAGGTGGTGCCCAATACTGGATCTCTTGCTGCCCCTTGTGGGAGGGAATGGGAGGGATTCCTAATAGGGTCTAGATTTGAGACCTTTGCTGCCTGGAGGGGGAAGCTGTCCTAGAATGAAGTTATTTCCTCCTCCTGCAAGTGTTGCTGGAGATGTGATCAGGCTGGGGAGGGTTAGACCTTACTGATGGGGTTAGAGTTAAGGCTCCTGAGGTGGCAGACCCCATCAAAGATTTGACTGCCCCTGGGAGTGAGCTGTACTGCTTATCCGCTCCAGCAGTCTGTGCATTGAGCAGGAAAATACTTCTTTATTACTACGTGTGCCAGGCTGTGCTGCAGCCCAGTGAGGAGCTACCTGCTGTTGGGTCATAGCTCCTGGGAGGGAAGGAGGAAGGGAAGGAGGTCCTGACATCCATGATCACCCCCTGATCTAACCAGCCAGTTCTTCTTTCCAATACAGATGGCAGCTCAGAGGCAGCGCGCCCTGGCCATCATGTGTCGTGTGTATGTGGGCTCCATATACTATGAACTGGGAGAAGATACTATTCGCCAGGCCTTTGCCCCATTTGGACCTATAAAAAGCATTGATATGTCCTGGGACTCTGTTACGATGAAACACAAGGTTGGTTAATAGCCCTCGAGTGATGTGTTTTTGTTCTCTCCAAGGCCTTCCTGAATATATACAGGAAAAGGAGGAGCCTTTATCCTTGTAGAAAGCAGGCTGCTTTTAGCGCTTCAACTTTGAGATACATGTATGTAGCTGCCTGCTTTACTTAGCTTTGCAGGATTCTGTAGTGGGAACCAGATGTGCATGGGGGTGGTGTGCACGAAAGATGCCGAACAGCTTGCAGTCCTCTTTGTGGTGGCCTTTTGCTACTAGGCCTCTAAGTATGAGAGGCTCTGGAAACAGCTAGCCTTGTGTCAGTGCTTCAAGCGTGCAATTTTCTGCTTTAATAAAAAGCTTCATTAATGAAACATATTCTCAGGCCATGGTAGCAGGAATCTGGTATGTGGGAAGTCTTGGCTGCGTTAGCTTGGCACTAGATTTGAGACAAGTCAGCTGGTATGGTTCAATAAACGTATCTTTCTGTCTTAGGGTTTTGCTTTTGTGGAATATGAGGTACCTGAAGCCGCTCAGCTGGCCTTGGAGCAGATGAATTCTGTCATGCTGGGGGGAAGAAATATAAAGGTGAGTAGCAGGCATGCTCTGAAAATGCTTAGTTTTCTGTACTGTGAGTAGTGGCTTTATGCCTAGAAATGCTTCCCACAGCACTGATGTAGAAGATAACCTAAAGTCTGTTACCTGATAGACCTTGATATTCAATGCATTTCATACGTAGTGGGTCTGTGTCCCTTTCTCTCTGAGGAGAAAAACCCAACACGCTAATAAAACTTAGAAACTTGTTCTGGTAAGCCAGCTCAGTTTTTTTCCACCTGCACATGGAATGGAAGTCTCTTGAGGACAAAACAAAGGTGATTCTTGATATTTTGACAGTGCTGTCTTACTGTACCTGTGTCAATGGTAGATAAATACCATCAGGCTTTTGTTGTGCCTGTCAGTAGTGCCAGGGACTTCCAAGTAACGGTCCACCCTTGCCATACAAAAAGGAGCAAACAGAAAGGAACAAAGGATTGTAGCTGTGGTGGTTTTTTTTTTTTAATCAGTAAGAGGGAATCTTGCAAAAGTGAAACTTTGGGGATTGAAATTAGTGGTGGAAACTAGCGTTTTCTGCAAAATGTTTTATATCTTGCATTTATATCTCTGGTATACACTCTGCATATCTGTGGTGTCTGATTTCCAAGCGGATTTTAGGAGCCTTTAAAGGTATATAGAAGCATTGTGTTTTGCTTTCAGTATTGTTTTCAGTTCCTGGAAGTTAGTCTCTGGCAGGTCAGGGAACACATGGGGAAAATAATAGTGGAGGAGAGAGCAGAGTCTGTCCAGGCTCTCAGTACATCAGGAATCCCCCTTAGCACAGGTTGTATCCCAGAGCTGTTGCCCTTGGCCTTATGAGGTGTTACTTGGTTTGAAAAGGCAGTCAGATGGGTGAATGCTTGTCTGCTGTAACTCTTGGTGAGTCACGCTGCTGCTCTTCAGAATGCTTAACAGACTGTTTGTGGTGTTCGTTGCAGGTTGGGAGACCTAGTAATATAGGTCAGGCGCAGCCAATTATAGACCAGCTAGCAGAAGAGGCACGGGCTTTCAACCGCATCTATGTGGCATCTGTTCATCAGGACCTTTCAGATGATGACATCAAGAGTGTGTTTGAGGCCTTTGGGAAGATTAAGTCCTGCACGCTAGCCAGGGATCCCACAACAGGAAAACACAAAGGCTATGGTTTCATTGGTAAAATGGCTGTCTGGTATTTGTTGTGGGGTAGGGGAAGTCATCGGGAGCATACTCACCTTTTTTTTTTTTTTTTTTTTTTTTTTTTTTTTTTTAAACTCTAGTGGAAGAATTACATTAAGCAATGGGATAGAAATGAATTTGGAGCAGATCTGTGCCTGAACTTAGAAATATAATTAATAGCCAGATATTTTTACTCACTGTTATGTAGGTTGAGAGATCTTGCTGTGCTGACTGTTCTCAACAGTGCTTGTGTGATCGGAGGGGCGAGATGAGCGAGCTAAGCACTCAGGGTCTTCTCACTGAAACTCTAAGCAGTTGTTTTTTGCAAATACAAATCACAATTGTGCAATGAGAGAGTGGTTGAGTTTAGTAGTAAAATGGATCAGTTGTAAATATTCGTCTTTCTCTCTGCAGAATATGAGAAAGCACAGTCTTCTCAGGATGCTGTTTCCTCTATGAACCTCTTTGACCTTGGGGGTCAATATCTCCGTGTTGGTAAAGCTGTGACTCCTCCGATGCCTCTCCTGACACCTGCTACGCCAGGAGGATTACCTCCAGCAGCAGCTGTTGCTGCAGCAGCTGCTACAGCAAAGATCACAGCACAGGTAAGGCTGGTATACTCAACCAAGTGGATGATTGTTGTGACCCTGCTAGAAACAAGTATGCAAACTGTTCCAGCCAGCTGTATTCACTAGTTTGAATGAAAGCCCTTGGCCTAGATCATACTGTGTTCCTAGGACTTCACATGTAGAAGCTTGCTGTTGACACTTGTGAGAATCTGATACGCTGGCATTTTGGAATGAAGTCTGGCACAGCTAATCAGAGCTTTAGTTAAAGAAATGGTGGGGGATTCTTTGTGTGGGTAGGCAAAACAGTGCTTAGAGAAGTCGTTGTAGTAGAGGCTAAAAGAATGCATGACAGTACATAAAAGGGCGCAAACTATTGAGAGTGGTAATAAGTCATGTGGGCAATGCTGTTGTTGAAAAGACTGTGTAGTAAGGTGGAAGATGACTGTAATGGCTTTAGGCTGTTCAGAAACGAGGAAATGCAGTGATTGAGTGGAATTGGATGTTGATGCAGGAGTCTAGAGGTTCTCAGATTTAGTTTGCTTGAAGTAACAGAAGCTCCTGGCTATGACCAATAGGCACTGATGGAGGAAGATGCCCCAGCCCTGGAAACATTCCAGGTCAGGTTGGACAGGGCTCTGAGCAACTTGCTCTAGTTGAAGATGTCCCTGCTTATTGCAGGGGGGTTGGACTAGAAGACCTTGAAAGGTCCCTTCCAACACAAACTATTCCATGATTCTATGATAATATTGCCTTTCAAAGCAAACCCCCATATCTGTGTCTGTCTTCCTTGCCTTGGGCAGCAGAATCTCCCCCTGTGTCACCATAGTCTATGAAAGAAACAAGTTCCAGCACTGTTGGTTCCTGGATGCTCTCAAGCAAAAAATTGCTGAGATGTGAAGCCTATATGTGCTTCTAATCAGCTGACTGGAGTTAATTTTGTAAACAGCTCTTTTTTTGAAAATATTTCTCTTAATCACAAGGTAAAGGCACAAGTGGGGAGGAGTTGCCACTGTGAAACTCTCAGGTGGTTTGCTTGTCCCCAGTAAAAAGTCCACAAGTCTGGAAACCCCTGCAGTCAACTAAGGAAGGAAGTTGAGGCATGGTTAGAAGAATTATTTGGATCAAAATCACTTTGGAAAGAACTATTAACTACTGTTAAATGAAATGGTAGAGATCTGTTACAGACATGGATAAATCTTATTGTTTCTTTCTGCGAAATACTGCAGGATTTGTTGCCATGAGGAAAATTTGAAATTCCATATATAGAAAAATACATAAACTGTGAAAGACCTCAGAATTACTCAGCAGTCTTGTTGGCCTTTACTAAGACATGGTACTTAGGTTACCGAGATCTAGGTAAAAGTCTGTCTGATTTGCCATGTGGGTAGTTATAGATGACTAGGGAAAAGAGTAAGAACAGTTACAGAAGGCAGTATCTCTGATTTATGCTCCTAGCATAGTTCTTGTATGAAATGGCTTACTTTTAAATAAGAGCGTACTCAGTCACGGTCTGTAAGGACTTTAATTTCACAATTTTTTTAAACACGAGCTAGTTAGTAAATTTAGTTTAGTTTAGAAAGAAAAGGACATGAGAGAGAAACTTAAGTCTGAGATAAAACTTTGGATCTGCAATCAGAACTGCAACTTTAGTGTGGAATTAGCATGCCAGCCAAGGAAGGAAGAGGTGTCTCTGCACTTAAATGAAACTATGAAGAGAGAGGTATTGGGTAGCAAAGATGGTTAATATCTTGATAGTCACAGTAAAAAAGTCAGTCTTGCAAAAGAAGGTTAAGTAATTAAAGCTATGAGGAAAAATTTCTTCAGCCATTTAAGTAAAAAGTGGGGGGCAGTTAATGACCAGTGTAGTAAAAAATTATGATGGTCTTGTTACAGCACTGAATGCTTACATAAGCATTTTTCCCCTTCATTAGAAGCATAAAGCAGACTGGCTAATGATGCAGGTGGGATTACTGTATCCTAGGTGCATGTAAAGCTCAGAGTTTGTCATGTGCAGATGTACACTTAATAGTTTTTGCGTGTTTTTTGTAGTAAGCCTGTCATTTCAGGCCTATTGCTGTATGGCTGAAGAATAGCAAAATAGCAAACATGATAATTGTATTTAAGGTAGCACAGAAAACTGGTCTTTGCAGACTTTGTTCTCACCCCAGTGCTATGGAAAGCTTGAAAACAAGCTTTAAAGGAAGGACGGAATTTTTCAAAAGAAACAGATATGCAAAATGTTTGGGTGTTTTAAGGGAATACCCCTGCTAGATGAACATAACTTTCTGTTACTTTTTTTTTTTTACCAACAAAGTATAAGTCTATCCTATCAACAATTCAGGAGTTGATGGAGACCTCTATGAAAAGCTGTTAGACAAGACCAACAGGATTACAATGAATTTTGAGATGCCTAGGCAAGTGAGAAGAAGAGATGGAAATGAGCTGTGCTGCAAATTGCTGACCCTTCACTCTGGTGAAATTACTTAGATACATCTTGCTTCATATCCAATAAAAATTGGCGACCTTATTCAAGGCATTAGGAGAAGAGTACTAATGGAATTAGTTGGCAACACAGAGATGAGATGCATTATTAATGTAGAGGAGAATTGGAATGTTGCAGCAGATTGGAGTAGGAAATATATGCAGCTATTAGTAGTAGAATAGAAGATACTGCATTTAAGGAACAAAACCTTAGAATTTTTTGCTTCATGGTGTCAGGGCTTATAGGAGCCCCATGAAAATAAGAGAAGGATATGGGTAACTAAATCATGAGTATAATAGCCTGGAAAGCAACAATAAAAAGCAGGGTGGGTGGAGCTGTGTCCTAGAGTGTATTTTAGGCATATTAATTTCAGTAGTTTTATGGAAGTGTTTTATCACTTAACTGGGTGTTCATCTCAAGTGTTGTTTGAATTCTGGTCTTCTAGACTTAGATATTTATTTGGATTATAGAAGGTATAGAGAAGTACTGCAATTATTGGGAAAATTGAAAAAAAATATAAAAGTTTGGCTTGGTATAACTTTTCTGTAAGTAGAAAAATGCTGAAAGGCGCATCAGATTTTTGCTCAAATACAAGTGTGTATGGAGGCAAGTAGGTAATGGGATGGGAGAAGAGGTGTGGACAACATGGACAAAAGGAAGTGGTTATAAAATGCTTCAATTCTCAAGGCTGGAAGCTTGAAGTAAGTTTCCAGTCATTGAAGGAGGTAAAGTTCAGTAAGGTGTTGCCAGTCAAAATTATGGAGGCAAAAGTTAGTTATATAATTGTTATCACTGAAAAATTTACTAATGTGATAGTTGTTTGCAGTTGGTATGATTATGCAGGCCAGTTTCAGTGCTGTGTTGCTGTCTGTATCTAAAGAATGAAGACTACAGAGATAAGATATTTGGTTTAAACTGATGTAAATTGTGCACCTTTTGAGAATAGCAGTATTGTGTTCTCCCTTGCCCTGTCCCATGTGCTTGCAGTAGTGTTTTTGACTACAGCGTTCCTTCTTGAATCAGACAAGGATTAACATTCCACCAGATCACTTAGGAAAAACTGAAGCTGTAAGAGTTCCCTCACCAGGTTTGTCACATGGCCCAGCGCTCTGGTGCTGTCATCACAGGGAGTGGGATGCGAGCTCCCATCAATCTTTTTAAATGGATCACATTCCTTAGCATCAGTAAAAAGCTTTACTTGTGTAGAAGGTGGAAACAAGTAGAGATTCCTCTTGCTCTGGAATGGCCTGCATCTTTCAAATCATGTATTGAATCCCTTGGTGTCTTTCATTCAGTAACTTACCTAGAAGCTTGAGGGGATGGGTGAAATTTGCGTTGCAAGAGAACATTTCTCTTCCAAGGCTTGGTGTCTCGTAGTTTCTACATTTCTCTGGTGGGCTGAGTGGCATACTTTTTATTTTATAGTAGCACTGGGGAACTGTCATCCTCAGAACCTATATATCTGGTATTTCTTAAATGTAAAAAAAGCTCAGCTGCAGCTGACTGCACCCATAGTATGACTCTTGATGCAGAATTAATACTTTTTTTTCTTTTTTTTTTTTTTTTTTCCTCTTACAGGAAGCAGTGGCAGGAGCTGCAGTTCTTGGCACTTTGGCAACCCCTGGGCTGGTATCTCCAGCACTGACTCTGGCCCAGCCATTAGGGGCATTGCCACAGGCTGTAATGGCAGCACAAGCACCAGGAGTTATTACAGGTATGTTTACTCTTCATTTTGTCACTTGTTTACTTGTTACAAAGCATGGTTCTTTATAGCTGGGGTCACAACTAAGGAGAATTTGAAGCTGAAATCTTCCTCCTTGCTCTGCTTTGTCAAGAACTTTTATTTTTTTATTTGTGCAGCATAACAGGAATTTATTTTGGTATACAATAGATACAACAGGGACATGAACTTCACAGCAGGAGTGTATGGCACTCAGTGAAAATCTAGATAGTTGTTACCCTGTGCAAAATCCTGCACTCTATCTCCCTTCTTGCACAAGTATGTGATGCATTTATTGAATGCTTACATCCTCTGTGCTAAGTTGCTGCTTATGCCTCCCTGGTCGTTGTTGGTGCAGAGCAAATAAAACCATTTAGATTCTGTAATCCTCTTTATCACTGGCTGGTGCATATCCAAATGTTGCAGAACATGAGTTCTTTTCTTTATGCTACAAAGGTTGTACTCTTACAGGTGTAACCCCTGCCCGACCTCCCATTCCTGTCACTATTCCACAAGTGGGAGTTGTGAATCCTATCCTGGCTAGTCCCCCAGCATTGGGCCTGATGGAGGTCAAAAAGGAAAAGGAAGAAGAGGAGGTATTCCAGGAGTCAGAGAGGCCAGAGATGCTGAGTGAACAGGAACACATGAGCATATCTGGCAGCAGTGCCCGTCATATGGTGATGCAGAAACTGCTTCGTAAACAGGAGGTGAGTGCAGTGTGACTGCCCTGAGCTGGTTCAAGTTGTCAGCAAATGAGACCACTAGGTTTATAATCTGTCTTAATGTGGTATAGCTATGCAGTCTTGTATGTGGTACAGGCTTCCTGCAGCACGTATTGTAGGTACCCCACAGAGCTCACGTGGGACTACAAAGGCTACCTGCTTGTGATGGTTCTTATTCTGCCTTCAGGATCTTCTGAGAGTTTTTCTGAGGGCTTAGACTAGTCAGTCACTAGGCCAGAAGATGCTTGGCTCCTTAATCAGGAGGTGTCTCTGATTAAATGGTGTTTTTACTCAGCATCATTAAAGCAAACCATGATGGCCTTTTGGCTTATAATTAAAGAAGTGAGACTGGCACATTGTTGGGGCAATCTATTCCAAACTACTGAGTCCAACTTCTCCCCACAACCTTTTACTGCAGGATGATATTCTGAGGTGTTCAGAAAACAAAATTTCCTGGAAGATACAATGAGAAAGAGGACAAGAATGCATTATAGAATGAGTCAGAAGACTAAACAGAAAATAGATACATAGATTTTTTTTTTTTTAGGTCTTGAAAGGGGCTGTATTAATAATGTCATGTGCAAACAAGAAGCCTGATGAGAAGAGGTTTGTTCCTGTGTATGATTGAGTTTCCTGTCTGACACACAGGTTTCCTGAGCTTTAACACTGAATTGACAATATTCCTTCTCTGTTTGCAAAATAGGGATAATGCTGATGTGCATTTCTTAAGGGAGAACACAAACGAGTTCATAGAAATCACGGAATCTTAGAATCCTTGGGTTGGAAGGAACCTTTCAAGGCCATCTAGTCCACTGCCCTGCCATGTGCAGGGACATCTTCAACTAGAGCAGGTTGCTCAGAGCCCTATCCAACCTGACCTGGGATGTTTCCAGGGATGTGGCATCTACCACCTCTCTGGGCAACCTGGGCCAGGGTTTCTCCACCCTCATTGTCAAAAATTTCTTCCTTGGATCTAGTCTAAATCTGCCCTCTTCTAGTTTAAAACTGTTACCCCTTGTCCTGTCACTGCAGGCCCTGCTGAAAAGTCTGTCCCCATCTTTCTTACAGGCTCCCTTTAAGTACTGGAAGGCTGCAGTAAGGTCTCCCCAGAGCCTTCTCCAGGTTGAACAGCCCCAACTCTCTCAGCCTGTCCTCACAGCAGAGCTGTTCCATCCCTCTGAGCATTTCTGTGGCCTCTGCTGGCAGCCCCACTCCAGCAGGTCCGTGTCTCTCCTGTGCTGAGGGCTCCAGAGCTGGATGCAGCACTGCAGGGGGGTCTCATTGATTAGAGGGGCAGAATCCCCTCCCTTGACCTGCTGGCTACGTTGCTTTGGATGCATGCAGCCCAGGATACGGTTGGCCTCCTGGTCTGCGAGTGCACATTGCCGGCTCCTGTCCAGCTTTTCATACACCAGTACCCCCAAGTCCTTCTTGGCAGGGCTGCTCTCCATCCCTTCACCACCCAGCTTGTACTGATATCGGGGGCTGCCCCGACCCAGGTGCAGTTCCCTGTACTTGGCCCTGTTGAACCTCATGGG